CGGCGCTCCCCTTTCCCCACATCTTTCCCCTCTCGAAACCTCCCCCCTAAAAAGAGAAAAAAAGGGCGCGGGGACTCGCCCGTTCCGCCGCCGCCGCCATCCGACCTGCGGCAGGGTAGGGCCGGGCCGCCAGCCGCGCCTGCCGCAGTGCCAGCGCCCGCTGCCGGTTCCGCTCGATCTTCGCCAGCGCCGCCGCTGAGAGGTGCGGCCGCTCGCCCGCCGCGGCCAAAACCTCCTGTTCGTGGTCTTGCTCGTTGGCCGGGGCCGCGCCCGCCATGGCGGCGGCGGGAGCGACGGAGCCCCGTGGTCCCCCCCGCTCCGGCAGCCGCTCTCGCCCTTCCCCTCGCCGAGCCGCCGCCGCACTGCGCCTGCGCAGGGCGGGGGGCGGGGGTGGCCACAGAAGGGGCGAGGCCGCCCGCGCAGGCGCGCAGCTGCCGCCCCGCCCCTCCTCGCTAGCCGCCAGGGACCGGGACCGGGACCGAGACCGCGGGACCGGGAAGGGGACGGAGTGGGGGAGGGCAGCCGACGATGACCCTGCGCTTTCTGCACCGTCCCCCGCCTCGGGCCTGAGCGGCCCCGTACAAAAAAAAAAAAAAAAAAAAAAAAAAAAAAACCCATAAATCCCGCCCCGCCCGGCAGGAATTCCTCAGCAGCGTCACCCAGCAGTGCCCCTTTTGTCCGCCCGGCCCGGCCCCGCCACAGCCCAGCGTGAGGCTGGTTCTCGGCCGGAAACGGCCCCGGCCACGTTTTCTGCCCTGAAAACTGCTGGAGCACTCTCCCCACTCCCTGCTCCTGCTGTGCGCGGCCCGCCGTGGTCCCAGCCTCGCTCGGCACGGGCGATGAGCGCTTTCCTAACAAAATCCCCGTCCTGCCCTTAAAGATTTCTCGTGTTCCGTGCACGGGAGGATAAATGGAGGCTGCAGCCTCCCTTACTGACGAGGGACGCGCAAATGGCTTTGTCATGCAAATGTGGCTCTAAGCCACTTTCATATAAAGCCACTTAATGCCGAGCAGCCAGTGATCCTCGCCCGCCCGTCAGGCAGTGCCTGCCCTGTCCTTGAAGGAACGGAAATGGAGGCACTGGCACAGAGGCGTGCTCCCTGCCTCCATGCTGAAACGGGATGACCTCAGCACAGGGAGAAGCCTTCCTTCCCTCCCCCCCCATAACTCCCAAGAAAAAAAAGCTCGCTCTCTTCCGTGAAACTCAACTAGTTTCCTGCCAACCCTTCCTTGCTGCTCCCAGAATACATCCCTTGTTCCTCTCCGTTCAAATGCCCGCGGTAATTACCTGCATGGATTGTGGTTCTCCTGTGTCCTAAAACATTTTATTTCTTTTTAGCTTGTCGTCCTCGCTTGGCATTAACTTTCGACAACAGCCAGCAGAGTGTGCTATGAACGCTGAGAAAAGAACATCCTTCTTCTGGGAAATTTATATATATATCTCCATATATATATATATATATATATATATACATATGTACAGAAATGCAGATGAAGACATTTTAAGTGGTTCTAATACTTGCATGAGTGGTAGGTAGCTCCTCCCGTCAATTAAAATACTTCTCTTGTCGCAGATCACAGAACCTCTTCCTTAAAAATTAATAACCAAGTCATACTAAACCGTCTGCTTTCAGCGAGATTGCTTTCCAGTCTTTGTATAAAGTTGGAAAAGTGCCACAGTGGAGATGTCCAAATACGTTTCACCGTCAGAGAGAAGGATCTAGAACACAAGGTATTTAATAGATGAAAATGCAAATCGTAACCCCAGCGTACAGGAAGCAGCTTATGCAATTATACAGTATGAGCATACGTTTCTCCAACCTCATTACTCCCTTGTTTGGACTGACTTACTGACAGTGGAGTTCCAAACAGAGTAATAAACACAGTAGAAGCAAGTGAAATAAAAAAAAATTAGAGGAAAAGTGTTTACTAGATGTCTTGGAAATGGAAATGTTTGCTTGAAAAGCAAACACATGTATGTTTTGATTCCTTATGCTATTCTGGTGTCTCTTCTTCCTTGTTTTGTAGGAGCAGACATTTAGGGAGGAGTGAACTGAGTTGTACTTGTGGGGTAAAAAATAGTTCTGTATCATTCATAAACCAAAACTGCCTTAAAGCAAAGCCAAGTTTGAGACCCCGTGTAAGGATTTTAAGGGCAAAAGGACATTATTGTTATGCAACAAAACTGGGAATTAGGATAAAAAGGAAATCAGAATATATAAACAAAAGCAAATTCAGAGGCAAGGCGTTCAAATAAAATTGCCTGTGGGCCACAGCTATCTGTGCAAGTGTTAATTATTAAGTAAAACTTAATAATGTTTTAGAAATATATACTAGAGATGTTTGGCTTTTTCTTTTTCTCAGGGGAAGTCTGACAGGGCAATCAAAGCAGAATATTCTCCCCAGCTCTGCTTCTGACCAGAATGAATCAAATACAATACTCCTAATTTTCATGGCCAAGAGAAGGTAATAAAACTAATTGTTTTATATTAGCAAGGAGCTACAAACTATTTCATGTGCATTGCTCTGGTCATGCAATAATATTTGTGCTTAATATTAAACACATGTGGCTTAGTGTGTGGACATGAGATAATAATTATTATGGTATCTGTGTTTTAAACAGTTTTTCAGGTTCTGTATGCCAAGTAGTATCAAGTATTCCTTGGCTGCTGGTAGCCATGTATTAGAAGGTAGGCTGTCATTAATTGTCAAGCACAGATGTGCATTATTTCATTGCCACAGAGACCATCAGCAGTGAAGAGTTGAGCGCAAGGAGGCAGCTGAGCCGTGCTTCACAATTCATCACTCCCATGGAGGAAACAGTGAACGGCAAGACAAGAATGTTTGCTGACTGTGCAAAACCTTTTTAAGTTAGCAGGGGTGAGGGTCATCTGTAAAGAATTTTGGGTGATTAGGCAATAAAAAAGTAGATTAAATAGAGAGTAGATAAATGCAAGGTGATGTTATAACTAGTCATAACTTTACATAAAATGTAGGAATACCTGAATCAGTTGATGCCACTCAGTAGTGAGACTTAAGTGTGTATGCCCTGCATGAATGCCATCTTTATGTTTGGAAAAGCAAGGCACATTTCAAGGAAAGGGACAGAGAACAAAACCAGGAACACATTTATGGCAGTCCCGAAATCTGTCGTGAATTTGCTCAGTGAGTACTGTTCCCTGTTGCGTTTCGAAAATGCTGGAACTAGAAAAGAATAACAAGGATGCTCAGCTGTCTGACTTTGTGTCCCTTGAAAGAGACAATTGAGGTTTGGAGTTCTCACCAAAGAGTGAGGATGCATGAGGCCCGTCACGTCCTATGTAATGGGTGGATGCCAGCTGACTTTCTGAGTACAAACCATCAGATTTGCCCAAGTCTAAATAGGCAAGAGGAGATGGTTCTTCATTTGGTGCCTTTCTGAATGGCATGCTGAGTACAGGCTGTTTCTCTAGGGTGCAGGGAAGATAGGCCAAGTATTTGGAAGAGGACTGTGTTGAGAGTTAATGAATGAACACCCCCTCACGCTCAGGAAATTCCCTGAGCTGAAAGCAGTTGGTAGCTGTGGGAGTGTTGCAGAGAAGATATCATATATTTGCCTTGCTTTTCCTCTTCCTTTGACGTTTGCCTGTGGCCTGTGGTGGAAACAGGATGTTGGACTGAATGGGTTCTTCATCCGAGGCAGTACACCTCTTCCTCTGTATTCATGAGGATCACACTGAGCCACGTGATAGCAATAAGCCTGTGCAATGGGGGTCTTTCCAACCAAATTCACTGTTCATCTACACCAGGAGTTACTTACGGAGCAGCTGCTGGGCATGTATTTCTATTTTGCCTCATGATGAACTTCCTTCTCTCTGTCCTCAAAAATCTTAGTAGCAATATGCATACAGCTGCATTGCAGTTGCATACCTACAACCAAACCATCCTTTTGTCCTTCCTCAGTAGAAAATACACGTTCCATGAGAAACAGACCTGTCTTACTTTTTGATGAGTTTGTCTTTTGAAGGAGCAACTATGGACAAAAATCTCTTTACGCCTCTCCCCCCCCCTCCCACCTATCCCTCAGCCTCTGTTTGGGGTTCATGTGGTAGCATCAATTTTAGCCACATTCAAATTCAGTAGCCAGAAGCTGGCTGGCCAATACACACAGGCTGTTGGGCTGCTGCCTCGGAGCATGACTAAGGTATTGGATTTTGTCCAGTGATTTCAAATGCTTTTTGAATGGGAGAGAACAGTTCACTTGCATCCTTAGGAATGTAGGGCAAAAAATACCATGCCATTTGTGATTTTGTTTCCATCCTTTTTAGCTTGATACACCTATTTCTTATGTTACCTTTAATAAATAAATAAAGAAATATTGTTGGCGTCTTGGTGAAAAAGAAGCGCGTGACCTGTGAAAAGCAAAGTGAACTTGTTAAAACCAGATAGTGTACCTGCATGGATTTGTATGTTTTCTTTCTGAATTCACCTGTGCCATAGCTCATAGATCAGGGATACGCAGGGAATCATCCTGTTGGACAGAATGGGACATGCAGAGTAAATTAGATTTGTCATCTCTCTGAGATTTTCTCCTTTGCTCACTACCTGTAGGAGAGGATTTTCATAGTAATGTGACCTGTCTTCACGCTCCATTTATTGTACTCCAATTGATGTATGCAATCTTGGTTGAACAGATAGGTAATGGAGTAAACATATAACGTGTTGAATGCCTAAGTAACACATCTGAAACAAACAGGTAGGCAAGAATCAAAGTGCAATTTAGAGACAAAAATTGGCATTGTTCTCTGACAGGAGATTTTTATGCAAGTTTGTTATCATTTTGTCATTACAGGAGATGACAGAATTTGAAATTACAATGTAAGTATCTTTTACTTGCTAGCATTATACAAAACTTTTCTGTTTTATTCCTGAATAGGACTTTAATATGTTGGCTTTTAATATCAATAGAAAATGTTCATTTCATATCTGTGAACAGGAAAGTGTTGATGGCCACATGATGAAAAAATTCTGTTTACTGTTTCAGAGATTGCTACAAAGCTGACTGGACACTTTTGCTATTGATTGGCAATCCAGAAAGAGAAATCCTCTTCCAGTATTTCACCAGAAAAAGCCATCTTTCTCTTCAGTGCACCTAAAGAGTGGGAAACCGTAGCAAAACAGCAAACAAGTTCTGTAACTGTGGTGTGGCAGCCTTTGCTCATTTGATATCTTCAATACAAAGGACAAAAAATACTGTAGGAAAACATGTATTTTTTTCTGAAACTAAGACACTAGGATATTTTTCCTGCCCCACCGATGGCTGGCAGAGGAGATTTTATAGAAATGGGTTTGAGGACCAGTCTGAGCTGTCCTAAAGTTGAGCTATTCAGGTTTTGGGGCCTTTTTCCGAAGCGTGCAAGGAATAGTCACATATGATGTAAAAGGGATCTCTGTATTGACAGATTTATTCTCCCTCCTAATATTTCTATATGGATAGTTATTTAATCCATGCAAGAACCTTTCCTGTAGCAACTTAGAAAAGTTAAGAAACTTTGCTGAAGCTTTAGCGCTTTTTTGTTCTTTTAAGAGCATCTTGGGCATTTCTGAGACGCAAAATAGGCACATAATGTACTATAACAGTCTCAAAGACATGAGCTTTAGTTGTATTGATGGTGAAAGGCTGAGTGTTCTGGAAAGAAGTTCAAAATTCAGGTCTTGCTGACGTATTTAAGGAGGTGGGGAATGTAAGTATTTAAAATTCTTCAAATATCCACCTTATATTGTGCAGTTTATTACACTTTTTTTTTTTTTTTTTCCCCCCAAGCCATAATATAAAGAGATTTTTTTACTATTGCTCCAAGGCAACCTGACTTGTTCCTGTGTGCAGAGTACCCGGAATGGAAGACCATAATGCAGCTGACGAATTCTGCTGCAGCAAGAAAATCACGTCCCAGTTACCAAGGTTTAAGCAAGTGTGTCTCTTCTGGTCCTTGCAAATCTCTGCAAAACATTTTGGTGCCATTGTCCACAGGTTTCATCAGATCTCTCTCTCCAGTTTGTTTTCCCAATGTTAGCTGCAAACACATGATAAGTTCATGTCACGGTGCTGTCCATATGTGCCTCCAGGCCCCAGTCCTGCTTTTCAGGACAGACACCACCAGAAGCTGTGACCATTTCGGCTCCTCGAAGCGTGAGAGGAGAAGGATAATGTGGAATTGATCTTAGTGACTGTGCATTCTAGGTTCACACCAATCTACCTGTGAGAGAAATATGGAGCCAACACATACCTTAAGCCCTCTAGGAGTGCAGGACTGGTGGGAGGTGCTTCTAGGGACTGTGCCATCCACAGAATTTGAATCTTGAACATAATCTGAATGTATCTTCTCAACATGATCAGAAAATAGTTTCTCATCAGGGTCTTACTACCTGGATTACTTCAGTAGGCTGATTTTGTTGTCTTAGTTTTGACTGCTTTTTTTACTTCTTCAGTGTGAAAACGTGGCTTTGCCTTGCCAGAAAGAAGAGCAGTGATCATAGCAATTTCACATGTGATGTTAACTGATTTCTCTCTTGGAACAGGGAAGAATGGAGTCCAAAGGTTTTAGTACCTCTGATTAAATTGAAACTGTTTATGAGTGAAAGAATATAAAAAAAATTCATTATGCCACTCGGACCTTTCTTACAGGTTTGGCGTATACTACATTCCTGTGTTACTTCCACTTCATCCAAATGTTTGTGGCTAAGCTGTGCAAATCAAACTTTTCTAGAATTTGTTCTCTTTGTAGCATAGGTACACTGAGCTTTGTAATTTACTGTAACCCTCTTTTTTATTTTCCTTGAAAGACCATTATATGCTAGAGCACGGGAAGTCATTTGTGACAAAAAATAAGAGAGGGAGAAAAAAAAGAGGTTCTTCTCTTCCTGACTAGATCTGGAATCTAGTTAAGTTATTTTGGAATGCAATTAATGATCTAGTGACATGACACTTCTGTTGCCAGAGACTGCACTTTCATGATTTTTGCTCAGTGAGAGTTTTCTTTACGGCAGTGGTGACAGTTTCCAGTTTTCAGCATCCTCTTTGAAATTGGAAGCAATGAAATTCTTCACTGAGTGGAAGCATCCTCACCTGTCTAGGAAAGCGTCCTGTGTGGCACCTGATTGTTTCCTGACTGAAAACTTGACACACTCAGCTGCCAGCTGCTGCAACTGATGTACCACCAGAACAGTCCTGTGCTTGGAGGAATTTGTTACTTGTTCATGAGTCTGCAGGTACTCCAGGTCTCTCTGTGGTATGTCACCCTGGTTAAACTCAACCAGCTTGGATTTTTGTCTGTCAAGGTTTGGATCTTCCTCAAGTCCCATTTTTTAACTTCTTGTTTTACTGGTTTTGGGGGTGCATTTTTTCTTCTGAGTGTTGCGCATTTTCCTAGTTTATGTTTGAGATATTTTTATTAGTTTCAACTTTTCTTTTGTTCCTTCACTTCTCTGAGAAAGCAAGAAAAGCAGAGTTGATGAGGTCTCAGCAACATTTCACAGATTCATTAACTTTTACCTTGGTGTCTACCAAAATCTGAAAGTACCTGTACAAATCACCTGAAACATCTTGGTGATGTTTCATGAAACATGGTCTTGGACTGTTTGTCTGTGCTAGCCACCCTGTTTCTCCTCTGAGCAATGCAATTTCTCATGGTACATTCAAAAGTATTGGGATGCGCAATCTCAATGCCTTTATTTTCTGAGTGCATGCCTCCTGGTGTCCATAGAAATGGTCTTCTTGGAAGAAAATTGAACATTTTAGTCCTGTGTAGCACAACCTCTTTTTCTTCTCTAATACCTGATAATTTGAATACTTTCCTTGTTTGTTTCATCATTCCATTAATGACTTCATACTGTGAAACTTACTTCCTTGCTCTTTCTTACTTTCCCCAAAGTGATTGCTCAGAACTGCACACTGCAGTAATCTCCTATTACAACGTAAAATTGTCTTAACTGAGGCAGAATCCTGGTTGCAAATTTCCTCATATGGTGCCTCAGTTCTCTTGACTCATACGTTTATGTGGCAAATCCAAGAGGACTCACTCAGTAAATAGCATGCTGTCATGGTAGCAGGTAGCAAGAACTTTAGTTACTAACTGAATCATGCAACATAATGATTAAATGAAGACCAGTATGATACTGATATTATACAGCAAGTTCTTGAGGTGCATTCCATGTCTAGGGGCTGTGCTTGGAAATTATATGCAGATGAAGCATGCTTGCTGGCTACTTGGGATTCAAGATACTCTTCCTAATCTGTGTCTGTAAAAACTATTTCCATCTGTCCCTTACCTTTGACAGTGTCTTATGCCATAGCTCTCATATAGTCTAACCAAAGATAACTTCACAGGAGCTGCCATAATATGCTCAAATATTCCCACCTAGTACTTCTGTTCTGACTGTGTTTTATGTTTAATGACTATCAGACATTAATTTCTGTATAAGAGTAAATTCCATACTTAGGCATCTTGAGAAAAGTTATGATTAAATGTAAAATCTACATGATTGCTCCAGAGAACTGCAGCAGTTCTGTAAAGATCAATTAATCATGACTCACTTTTACAGTAGCCACATTTCTTCCTTCTCAACAGATTGTCTTCATGCAGCTGTACGTTAATTCCATCCTCTGTTACAGTTTTTGCTAAGTTCTCTGAAATGGAGACCAAACTTACTGCTCTATCGTTTTTTGTATCTTTTCTGAGGGTTTCCGTGCCAATTTTGAAAATCGCAAATGAAGGAGTTACCGTGCTCTAAGCTGCACGAAATGTTACAATATTTTTATTAAAAAGCATATAACTTCTGGTGAATAAGCAGGATAAAACCTTGCAGTTGCGTCTCTTGGGTGGATATAGAAACAATCATGTACAGTACATTCATGTGCATGTTTTAATAAACTTTCTGGGTACCGTATTGGCATGAGAGAGCCGATACATTAACAGCTTACCATAAAAGGTTTAATTAAGATCCGTAATAATGACCACAAGAGGGTGCTCTTAATTACTGTTCCGTGAATGCTGTTGGACTTCAAATCTCAGAGCCAATGGGACAAATAATTTTAACACTTACAAAAAATCAAGTGAATTAGTCATAAGTGGAATCCATCTGAGCTAGTTGAAACCAGCCATAATGCTTGGTCGTATATCTCCACCAAAATACACTTTCCTCTAACTTGAAGCTAAACCGGAAGGATTCTAAGCTTCCCTTTCATATGTGTTTTTTGCATTAACACAGCTGGAAGAATAGCAAGAATTTTTGTTTAGTTTAGTTACAA